CTTTCTAAACATTTGGGTATTTAAGTTTAAGAGTTTAATCCGATATTGGGATTTAAATTAAATAATTTTACAGACAAGATAGTGTCTAGAACAGTTTGTCTCAATTTAATTTTATATGAGAAAAATAATATGGCATAGTGTTTGTATTTGTATATCTTACCTTTTTAGCAAATGTTGACGTTTAACCAGAAATTTTTCATCTCAGCTTTTTACTGTGTGCGTCTTTGTTGCTTCGAAATGGTAGCCAGCCCATGCTATATGTACAATTTATTGGCTGTTGTTGTTTATGTAGAAGGTATATTTAGAAAAGAAATATTTTATTTTCGGACAAACGAAGTGAGGGAGAAAATAATATCTTTTCTTTTCGGTATAGCTCATTGGGGTAGATAACGCACGTGCTTTTGGTGGGTAATAAGCGGGAGAAATCACTCTCAAGGTTAGCTACTTTAAGGTAGGTTGTTTTTTGCTCAGTAAATTTTTTCCAAATTTAAGTATAGGTCCTTTTATGTTTTAGTTTTTGGACGTTTTCATTTATACTTAAATAAAGAATGTGGGTCCTACGTTTAGTTTGGAGGCGTAAAAATAAAGATAACGTTCTAGCTTTTTAAGTCGCGTGTATTATCTCTACCTCTAAATATAAATTGATGGGTATTTTTAGAATATGAATCACGCTAACTTAACTTCATAATAATATTTTCAATCACGTTTTCGTTGTTAAGGAAGTAGGTGCATTTAGCATAAGATGTAAGAATGGAAAGGTACAAAATGATTTGGCAGAAACTAGTGATGGCTACAATGTTAACAATATGTGCAATATTAAATTTGACTACAGGTAAGGCTAATGTTTTTATTTCTTAAATTGATGTTATCTGAAACTCGGCAAATATCATCTTACTGACCTGTGTGAAACCACTCTAAGCATGATGGGAACGCACTACTTTTTACATGGCGACTTGAACACCGAAGTGAAAATGGGGCCAGTTGAAAAATTAGATTTTTTTCCATACTCTGTTGGCATAATAGCCATTACATCATTTTTACTCAACTTATAATCATGCAAAATATAAAATTAACTGTTTTATTCTTTTATTTTATACTACCCCTATGTTTTGCTTCATGTGCTCATTGTCGCAGAGTTTAGGATTAAACATTTATGACAGTTTAAAAAGATTTGTGTAAACGTCTGAGCTCTTTTGGTAATGCAAAATGCTTAGAAATCATTTAAATATTAAAAAAACCTTCAATAAGACTTCGTTCAACACGCGTGATAGTATTTCGTCGATTAAAACCGAAAGTGACAGTAGTTTTGAATATTTGAACACATTATATATTTAGTGACACAGTGGAACTTGCACTTGCAATATGAAACTCTGGATAACAGTGATCCCTTGAAAGCAATAAACGATTGTCATCCCTACGCGGACTTCTTTATGTCGGAGTCATTTTTACCCTCATTTGGGGTGAGTAATGCGTCGTAAGACACAGGTCGATATATGAGAGAAATGCACAAATATAGGTTTTCCCGTTTAAGCTATGGTTGCAAACAAACTTTTACTTTTCACCACAACAGGGTAATTAAAGCGTTGCGCCTATTATCGATATACATTGTATTTACAAAGTTGTGACTGTAAAGTTTATTTTTACCCCGGGATAAGTCGGGAAGAAAACCACATTTGCCAAGTTCCGTGATATTTTAATTTTAGTAAAATGTATTACAATTCAATGTATTTTGTATTTTTGTGCGCGTTATTAATCAAGTATTTTATGGAGCTTGTGTCACTTTTTTCTCTCGTTATCTATTAACATCGACGTGACAGAGATATATCTTTTTGTTTCGCTACTTATAACACCACGTGTCAAAGATATGTGACTATTTGTTCTGCCTGCTATTAATAAACACCACGTGTCACGGATATATGGCTCTTTGTTCCCTTATATACATGTATTATTGACTTTGATGTGTCACAGATTTAAAAGTGACATGTTATTACTTTCCTATGATTGAATCGCGTGGATTTAAACCATACAGGGGCAAGCCGCTGTCCGTGAGCAAATACAAAAGTACAGCTAAACTCATTGCTTTGTACTGTTTGGTTCTAGGAGAGTTTTTAAAAAGTTTATGGATCCCAACACAATCGAACTAAAATTAATTCGTATATTAAACTTAACTATGATTGACACAAACATAATACAGGTTTGTCACTTTTTGTTTCCCTATCTATTGGCACAAACATAAATGATACAAGTAAATATCTGTTTTGATACGATATAAGATAACATAGCTTTGTATTTATACCACCGCCATAAAATGGCCGGACATATAGTGTTACCTTGTTCCGTTCTTCCGTCATTTCGTCATCATCAGTTTCCGTTCGTAATCTTAGTAACGGTTTCACACATTCAACTCAAATTTGACATATGGATATATCATAAAAAAATACAGGTCAAGTTCGAATTTGGTCATGGTCCGATGATTTATGACAGAATTATGCCCCTTGATGAAATTTTCAGTTTCCTTTCAATATCCCAAACGGTATTCAACCCAAATTTGACATATGGATACGTCAAATAAATGCGCAGGTCAAGTTAGAATTTGGTCATGGTTCAATTAATTTTTGCAGAGTGATTCCCCTTTCACTTTAAAAATAATATGAAATTTTCTGTTATCGTTCATTATGTCCCCAACAGTATTACACATTCAATTTAAATTTGACATATGGATACTTCAAAGGAATGCGCATGTCAAGTGCTAATTTGGTCATGGTTTGATGAAAGCTGACAGAGTTTTCCCTCATGTACTTTGAAAAAAATCTGAAAGTTTTAGTTTCCGTTGATTATCTTCCAATGGTTGACATTGGTTGTACACTTTTAACTCAAATTTGACATAGAAATAAGCAGTTCAAGTTTGAATTTGGTCGTGGTTCGATGATTTTGGAAACAGTTATCTCTCTGGAATGTTGGAAAAATTTTGAATTTTCAGTTTCAGCAGTCATACTTTTGTGGAAATGTATGTAGTCATTATTTTGGCTACGCATATGCAATATGCAATTAACAAAAGGTTAACACTAAATAGTTTAAATGTTGTATCAAAATGGTTTGTGTTAACATTAAATAGTTTTAAGGGCTTTGACCTTAAAATGAAAAAATAGTTTGTGTAAACAAATTTGGAACTAAATATCATAACATCTGAAACTTTGGCTGCATGCGGGGGCATTCGTGGCGTGATGACACATTTCTAGTTTATCTGTAAAGCACACCAGTATTACATAAATAACACGTGGCTGTTACGGCGATAATGGATATGTATTATTATGCCAGTTCCACCTTATCTATTATTATCTACCGATGAACCTTAAAACTACACAATTATGTAAATACAATCGTCGAAGGGAACACTTGTATCTTATAACAGCATTGGAACAAGTGGGTGGTTAATTGTTACTAAAGCTAAATTTATTCCATGGAAGTTAATTTGTACAATACTGAATAGACCCTTCTTAATATTACCTCATACATATTCATAGATTTTTCAGAACGAGGCTAACAGGGCAAGCTTCGGTATCAGATTCTGCTCTATGTAAACATATCATGAATACATGGCCGAAAGATTTTTTCTACAGTGTCAGAGATCTTGATAATGTTCTGTTTGCTACATACTTGTTGAGAACTATATATTTAATATTACAAAAATCTCTTCTGGAGATGAATAAATCAACAAAGGGTTTAATTTACGCAATACACAGTGAAGGGTATACAAAACCTGATAAGTGAATTAAAGTTCATGATAATTCTAAGTAATTTGTAATACTAGTATTCTTTGTCAGTATAAATATCAGGTTAACTCTTTGCAACTTAAATAAACATTATCTGTGTTATCAGTATTTTATTGCTAACCTAAACACATGTTGGTCAAGAGTTTATAAAGCAATTAAATTAACTGATAATAGATGTAAACAGTTGGATGCTAAATTCTGTACCATACTTCCCCTAAATTTAGCTATTGAAATAAAAAAGTTTAAAAAAGTTTTATTCACTTTATATTTAAAAGTAAAAAATTCTTGATGACTCTCTAGAACATGTAGAAACTTGTTAATTTTACAGACAGCCTTATCAAATCAAAGTAATATTTTGTTTAAACATGACACACCTGTCTTATCAGTATCATAACACATGATGTTGTTTACAGCAATATAAAATACATTTCATGCTAGTAAGTAAGGAAGTAAAACTTATATATTATCAACTATTTAATTAATTACAGTATAAAATATTTAGTATATAACGAAATACAATCATTTGATTGCAAATATCAGTCAAATCTTAAGACATGAAGCTGAAGTTTCATTAGATTATTGCATTGTCCAGTTGGTCCGACTTGATTATGTGGTCAAATTGTTGGAACCCTCAACTGACTGGTATATAAAAAATCATTGGGGAACACGGCACTTCCAGAGGATGTTGCCTGGACTTACCAACCCCAAATATTCCATGTACTTATGGGACTGAACATTCGCAGAAAACCTGTACAGGACATGGCAGTCGGAGGGTATTAGGAAAGGCAGCATCGAGTTTTAGCACTTCTTTTAACATTCAAAGAAATATTCTCTCAACAATATAATGCAATATGAGGACAAAATATTAAATGTAATTAACATGCTGACATATTCCCTGCAGCTGTACCATATATGTAACAAAGCACAATGTTAAAGCAAAGTAATGCGATGATTTCTTTTTAAGTTTTTATTAAATTCAAGGCGCAAAAGACTGAACAAATGGTCCTTTAAAATATGCTTAAAAACATTTTGTCAGTCAAGCTGATTGTTTTGCTTGCATCATAATAATTGTTCTTAATGTTTTTGCTGATGTTTTATACATTAAAAAATGTAATGAATATATAGTAAATTTTGTTGGAAATTTTGTATAACATTACAAAATATACAACTGTCATCATTTGAAAATATGTTTGTATCAAACGTTTAATATCACTGTTTGTTTTCCTCCTAATTTTTCTGTAATTCTTCTTTGAACTGTTTTCATCTGTTATGCCACTGCCGTGAAGAGATATTACAATTAAAGGCGATTCAAATACCAGTTGTCAATTTGTGTTCATGACTGTTACCAATGGATTTCCTGAAAAATATATACCTTTTAAACAAGAATTATGACATTTCTAGAATATATCAATTTATATTTTTATTAATTGCACATATATTTTTTACGGGGGCTGAACTTTGTTTATGATTAAGAAATGAAAATTAAGTCTTGTGAATACCTTTCATCTGGTAATGAAATCTTCTTCTTTAGTGTTCATCTTACTGGTCTGTTGATTATTACTCCAGTCGAACCATCTACAGAGTACATCTATTGTCTTCAGACATACATGTATATGAATTTATGTCCATGATTGTTAATCTTATTGTGTGAAATGCTTCAAAACGAGCAACTATTGCAAAATATTGATCTGAAAAAGTACATAAAATAACTTTTATTGCTTTTTAGTATAAAAACGGTATTGATTAAGATTCTGAAGCAATTATGTTTTAAATGTTATCATTATAAGTGTGATATTTTAAATGAAATTTATGAACAAAACATATAATTATGTTTATAATTTAATGAAACATTTAAATCAATGAGAAATCAGAGTAATAAATGTAAGCAGTAATACATCTTAAGTAGCTTGGTTTAAAAAGAAAAGAAAAATGGTATTTTACCTTGAAATGTTCTTTCATCCATCTTATTTTCACAATCCTTTCCTTTATTAAACTCACATCCTTAGGTATTTTATGAAAATTAACGGTATAATCATATCTAGAATTGGAATAACAGAGTGGAATAAAAATGAGATTTCCCCAGCAAGTTAAACACACTAGGGCTTATCAGGTCAGACATTATTTGTTTACATTCATGCCCTGTTAGCCTCTCTCTGGTGATGGAATGTAAAGTATGCATATAATTTGAGAAAGGCCTGTACCGCCGAGATTTGTATAATTTAAGTGCCCCAAGCTGATAAACAAATATCACCTGTGGAAAGTTTATCAGGCGATATTCGATTTGAACATGTTAAAGGCGGATGCATCGGAGTTTTACATTTAAATGTATATAGAGGTGTAATTAATGTGATTGTTTTTATTATTTATTGATAGATCTATATATCCACCAAGTTTTGAATTACATCACTTTGGCGTCTTAATGATAGAGTTGCATAATTATGATGACGTTGCTTATGAAAAGTCTAATATTTTACGTATAATCATAATATTAAGAGGAGTAGGTTAAAATAAATTGCAAACCTTACCACTGCGTGAAAATTTATTTTATCATCACACGAGAAAGAAACATGATAAAAACGGAAATTTATTATATACTTATAAATGAAATATTGAGAAATATTGATAAAATAAAATGCGTATTTTCATTTCCCGTATTTTCACTGTAAAAATTTATTTTTCACTGCAGTGAAACATATTTTCCGTATTTTCACTGGTGTCTTGCCGGACTACTTTCTTTTAAATTCTGCCAGTATACAAAATTTAAGGGAAAGTCTTTCCAATTTTATCGCAAAAAAGAGAAAAATATATATAATAAACAGAAAATTCAAGTTTTTTCTATAAATACATGATTTATTTTCATCTTGTGGCATGAAAATTACCATATTTCACTCGTGGCTACCGCCACTCATGAAATATTTATTTTCATACCACTCGATGAAAATAAATCATGTATTTATAGAAAAAACTTGAATATCCTCTATATATTAATGAAAAATTTAATAATGTTGACTATGCTTATCCATTTTTTACAGACGGATTACATGTATAAAAGGAACAGATGTCAATAAATAAACAATAAATCACATATCAGTAATGCCTGTGTTAAATATAATGTATAAGTATTTATCATTATGAAACCCAGTCAGTCTGATACATGTATCTAAGAATTAAAAGGTTGAAATTTGATAACATAATTACCATTTCGCTTGACATTTTCCGTTCGGCAGAAGTAATCTTGTTTAAGCTCTGCAAAAATATTTTGAATTAAGCAATCTGCTCCTCCGTGAATGTCTGAACCTGCTTCCAGTGCACTCTACGAAAAGTTTGTTTTTCTCGTTTGTACTCCAGGAATAGAAAATCAGTTTATCTTGACCTTCCAGCATTTACCCATTTTTTCACAAGTATTTTGTTATCATTGTGTAAACTTGATAGGTCTCTATTCCAGTAAGATTTAAGAAAAGACTTAACACAAAGCTATCACAAGATTCATAGTTTTGATCAATATCCCACTGCATACAATCGGTTGATGTCGTGCTTTTATGAGTTGTTTCAAGGCTTCAAGTCTTCCATGTTATCTTTTTAATTCATCTGTCATTTTTTCGCAATTTACACGAAGATCAACTATTTGCTTTGTTATCTATCGAAATCAAACGTAACACATATAATAAGCTCAAAACATGTTTCAGATAAATAAGTTGAGACCTTTCCAATTTTTATTAAAAAGAAGTAATTTATATTTATAAGACCTAGTGATGTCAGAATTTCAAAATAAAAATGAGATACTTCATGGGGAACATTTTAAAAGTAGTCTCTTTATTGAAAAGGTGTGAAATTATACATGATAATTATTACTTAAATCACTGAAGACATATAATTTTCACGGATAATCAGCAATCCCTTGACAATCATAAAAATGATTTTCCAACAATTAATTATTGTTATATAAGTTTATTTAACCACCACAACGGTACCATATGATTAAAAATTACTAAAATCTGACAACGACATTTGAATAGTGGGTGCATGGTTAGTGCTAGTGTAAACTTGAAAACAATAAAAGGTAACGCCACAAATTAAAACGGATACACCGTAACCTAAATGACCCAAAATGTATAACTGTAGTTTTGTTCAAACAACATAACCCCATTGTTTAAGACATTCTAAATTGCACATTTTAGAAACAAAATAACAATAAACAAAACAAAACAGCACTAAAAACAGTCATTTTCTGTTGTTTCATTTATTTCATTTCTTGTGCACAAACCACATACGTTATTCTTAACTAATATGATAACTCTCAAAGCATTTAAGTTGTTTTGTATTTGTTTTCCTTTTATTTCAGGCGGAAATATTTTTATACAAAAACCCGGTAAACAGACTGGTAAGATTCCATATGAATGTGGTAGAAATGTTACTCTTACTTGTAACTTTAAGAAGAGCACATTTGCCATTTCATGGATACATGCAACCGATGTTCTACCAATTGCAAAATGTATACAACATAAATTTTTTTTAACCCCTGCTTATGAAGGACAATACACGTTTACATACGATATACAGGGCATCTTCAATTTGACAGTTATAGAGATAACCAAGGAAGACAACGGAAGAAAGTTGATTTGTTCAGATGGTTCTGACAGCGATTCTGAAATTATAAAAGTTACAGGTTAGCATATCAATAAATTCAATGTATGTCTAGTTTTTGTATAATTGTTCTGACATGTGTCATACACAGAAAAAACTCTTTTGAACATTATATTCATTGTTGTGTCAGGAAGCAAATGTAAAATATGGATATGTGATAAGAATACACTTGTCAAGGTCGAATTTGGTCATGGTTTGATGATAGCTGACAGAGTTATCCCTCTTGAACTTTGAAAAAAAAATCAGAAATTTTTAGTTTCCGTTCATTATCTCCTCAATGGTTGTACACATTCAACTCAAATTTGACTTAAAGATACATCTTAGGAATAAGCAGTTCAATTTTGAATTTGGTTTCGGTTCAATGATTTTGGAAGTTATCTCTCTTGAATGTTTGAAAAATTTTGATTTTTATGTTTCAGCACTCATACTTTTGTGGACATGTATGTAGTCATTATTTTTACTACAAATATGCAATATGCAATTTACAAAAGGTTAACACTAAATAGTTTCAGTGCATTGAACCTTGTGTAAAAATGGTTTGTGTTAACACTGAATACTTTTAAGGGCTTTGACCATTAAATGAAAACAAAAAAGTTTGTGCAAAAAAATTTGGAACTAAATATTATAACATTTGAAATTTTGGCTGCATGCGGGACATCTGTGGCGTGACGACACATTTCTAGGTTATATGTTAAAAACACACTTAAAGCATACCAGTATAACATACATAACACGTGGCTGTTACGGCGATAATGGATATTGTCAACCCGAGAACTTGTATATAATTATGCCAGTTTCACCTTATCTATTTTATTATCTACCTATGAACCTTAAAACTACAAAATTATGTAAAAAAAATCGTCAAAGGGAACACATGTATCTTACAACAACATTGGACCAATTCGGCGCTTAATGGTAACTAAAGCAAAAATTATTCAAGGGAAGTTAATTTGTACAATACTACGGTGTTCCGTTTGGACAATCGTGACTTTTAATTTAGTCTGTACCCGCGATGCACGATGGTACGATGGTGAAAACGCGATGGCACGATGGTACGATGGTGGAAACACGATGTTACGATGATGAAAACGCGATGGTATTATGGTGAAATCGCGATGGCGCTATAGAACGATGGTGAAAACGCGATGTTACATAGCGTTTTCACCATCGTACCATCGCGATTTCACCACCGTACCATCGCGTTTTCACCATCGTACCATTGCACCATCGCGCCATAATATTTTCATCATCGTGCCATCGCGTTTTCACCATCGTGCCATCGCGTTTTCACCATCGTACCATCGCGCTTTCACCATCGTACCATCGCGTTTTCATCATCGTGCCATCGCGCTTTCACCGTCGTACCATCGCGCTTTAACCATCGTACCATCGCGTTTTCACCATCGTGCCATCGTCTTCCGGTGGTCATGCGCAATGTTATATTTTATCAACAATGTATGCCTTCTCAATATTGAACCCCGCACTTTTTCTATTTGTGTATCTTTTAAATCATGAAATTAACAAAAGGCAATCGCTCAAAAATTAAAAAAAGTTGTCATCCTTGTGCACTGTTTTATTCAAGTTTCAAGTTGATATATTAAATAAAGCAGGAGAAAAAAAAATGCAAACATATATCAAGCATAATAATTATTTAACCATAAATGAAATAGTCGTTAATCTGTATACAGTATCACGACATAAATGGAAAATTTAATGTAAACATAACAGGTTTTATATTTTTAACTCAAATTAAATATCAAGTATTCTAATCTTGTTTTTATTATCTACAGTAACATAATCTGAGATCTTTCTGTATGTATACTGATTATTCTGACAGAGAGGCGATGGTACGATGGCACGATGGTGAAAACGCGATGGTTCGATGGTGAAAACGCGATGGCGCGATGGTGAAAACGCGATTGTACGATGGTGAAAACGCGATGGTACGATGGTGAAAACACGATGGTGAAAACGTGATGGCACGATGGTGAAAGCACATTGATAAAATGGTGAAAACGCGATGGCACGATGGTAAAAGCGCGATGGTACGATGGTTAAAACGCAATGGTACGATGATTAAAAGCACGATGGTACGATGGTGAAAACAGGATGGTGCGATGATGAAGGCGCAATGGTACGATGGTGAAAACGTGATGGTACGATGGTGAAAGCGCGATGGCACGATGATGAAAACGCGATGGTACGATGGTGAAAACACGATGCCCCGATAGTGCGATGGCACCATGGTGAAAACGCGAAGGTACGATGGTGAAATCACAATGGTACGATGGTGAAAACGCGATGTAACATCATCGTACTATCGCGCCATCGCGATTTCACCATCGTACCATCGCGTTTTCATCATCGTACCCTCGTGTTTTTACCATCGTACCATCGTGCCATCGCGTTTTCACCATCGTACCATCGTGCATCGCGGGTACAGACTAAATTAAAAGTCACGATTGTCCAAACGGAACATCGTAGTATTGTACAACTTAACTTAAAATGCGAGATACCACATTGAGTTGCATAATTATGATGACGATGCTTATAAA